ATAATCTGAGTCTGAACTACTTCAAACACTGTAACCGTGCAACAAATCGTGGAGTGGTTAAGCACACTTTATGTTGCATGCTGGTTTTGGGCTTTATAATTAATTCATCCTAATTAAAAGGCAAAAAGAGCATCTTTCCAGCTATTTTTCAAAGTAGAAAGTTAACAAAATATGCTTCCTACTGATCCCTCCTCGCTGAAAAAAATTATTGTGCCAAGTATTAGATTTGATAGACTTCCTGAGAACTCAGAGTCTTCTAAAATAAACAACACTAGACATACAAACGCTGTTAACTGATAGATCAGTGTCTTATCTTATATGAGGTGAAATTTCCCACTGGCATTTCACAGCTCAGGTGATTAGCTTTGGTTAGATAGTGAGAGCAGTCAGGTCTAATCTGTACACCTGTATACTGATTGCTCATTGTTAATCAGTAGATAATTAAACGACTAAAAACTTACTTGGCCGCCTTCACCTCACGTACTAGCATAAAAAGAAGTAGCAAGACACAGTAGCAGATGTAATTTATGCTTCACCCCTGCACTGGGAGCTGCAATAACTCAGGTGGCCTTCTAAGCTTTGGGAGCAGCAAGCAGCAAGACCAGGCGAATGCTGGAAAAAATATAATTAAATGTCTCAGCTTTTAGTTGCATTTATTAATAATTAGTAAGAATAATTAACTGTACCTTCTAATAAAAGATGCATGAAATAGGTTTATAAAGTAACCACCTGAATTCTATTCAGAGACGTTAGAAAATAGGCCTAGCCACGTTATGAGGAGGCACTTGCATTCTTAGTGAGAGAGATTGGAGTTGTTGGGGACAGTTTCTCCAACATGGTGGGTGGGGTAGGAGATTAAAGTTTGTATTGTGTATCTACTGTTTTTCTTATCTAAACTAATATTCATTTTTCTGGTCTCAATTTTTTTAAAGAAATTTTTTTGCATGATGAAACTGTATCAGCAAAGCCTCTTTGTGATGCTAAATAGTATAGAAATTACAGAAATCAGAGCACTCCAAAAGTGTATAGGAGAGCATTGCACAGTCTGGATGAATAACAGGATTTCTGATTGTGTCTTTGTTTCTAACCTCCCTTCATAGCTTTGAGCAAATCACTTTCCCTTTTTCGCTTCCACGGATAAAATGGGATAATAACATTTAAGTATAATATTTCATAAAGATGCTATGCAGACCCATTAATAAATCCATTTACAGGTCTTTGATTACCTTCAGTATATCAAAATGTCACTACTGAGTTTGCTGACTGCGCTTATTAATTTCCTAGCTCTACTCAACTTCTAGATTATAAAATGATACTTTTTGACATAACTTATGATACAACTAAAACTATCACTCTGAAAGTCAGTTCAACACTCCTTACTAAAAGCTATAAAGTACACAGATTGTCTTTTCTTCAGTTATTGTAAAGATTTATTTGATCTCTAGCTCTAATATCCACTGAAGGTTTTCTCTGTCAGTATTAACTTCTTAGATCAATAAATTGTGATACTGATCTCCAGAGAAGTCAATGTCTGCCAACTACCATTGCAGTGTTTACCCTTGTTGAAAAGCAGTTGTAGCAAATTAAATTGGCTTCTGTCAGTGGACAGTCTCTATTTTATGGTACAATTAACAAGGGTTGATACATGGGCCACTTCCTAGAAAAGATGAGATTAAAGGCAAGGGTTTGTACCAAGAAAAATCCGAATTTATGAGGTGAGGTGAAGCTGCTTTCATTTAAAGAACAGTTGCTGCAGACTGGAAGATGACTCTTGTTTTCAAAGGAGCATGTTTTTAACAATGTGCACGTACCTGATCTTCTGTATTGTTGGAAAACCACTGACTATATTCTCTACTTCTACTGTGCTGTTAGAAAGTATACATCAGTATTTAGGTTTATGAAACATTCTGCTCTGAGACAGGTATACACAAGTGGAAGAAAACAAAGCCAAACCTGTAACTACTTTAAAACAGATCCAGAAAGAGCTGCTTTTTCTTTCATCTGGCTCAAATTGTGGTAATCTGTCCTCAAACGGGATCCTGATCCTTGATCTCCAAACAGGATGTAGAAGTTTGTTTTCTTAGACTTGTTTTCTTCCTTTGCCTAATTATAAAGAAACTTCCTGTTGTTTAATCACATTTTTAACATTGCTCTCTGAGGATAAATGATTAACAAGGCCTAGCAGTGACTCCAAACTACCCATTCAGTTGCACAGGAAGGATGATGTATACTTAGACTGATCAGAAATTAGAATAAAACTTGAACATTGACCTTTGTAATCACGGAACAATTGCTGGCAAAATTCTAATAATGTCTGGATAATTTTCTGTATTGTAACAGCCTGTTCCATACTAAAATTGGCCTAAAAGTACTGAAAGAAAAGCTTACAGGGTTGTTTTTGACATGGGCTTGATGTTATTTTTCTGAGAAATACTTGAGTTGCTTGGTATTCAGACATTTTGAAAAGATAGTTTAGGTGATTAAAGCTTTGAAAATTCTCTGCCCTCCATTACACTGAGAAGTTTCCAGTGTTACATGGAAAAGGCTCAGTCTACAAAACCCAGCTAAGCATTTTGTGGGTCAAAAATACTTATTAAAATGATAGTTGAGCAGAAAAGTACTGCAAAATTAGATGTCCTAATTTAGCTAATTTTGCCTAATATTTGTGATTTGATAGAAATTATGTTTATTTTACTTTCATAATGACTTTTAAGATGTAATTATAGCGTAATGGTGTTGCATCTTCTGGTTAATTTATAAGTACAACCTATCAACTTTAAGATGGACTAAGAGGGGTGGCTTTTATGAGAACAGAATTGATTTAGACAACATCAAATAAAAAGTACCCATTGGGTGAATTCCTCACAGTGGTATTTTTTAACATGTATAGGGAACTTTAGACTGCAAAGTGTGATTGTGATAAACACTCCATGGACAGTAAATTTAGAGTGAGGGTGTGATGTTGTTTGAAATTCTTAGTATATCCCTTTAAGAGGACAAGCTGATAGCACCTCTCAAAGCAGCGATTAGTTTTTAGTAGCTCAAGAAACAACACTTTGGTACTGTCCCACTCAATTCTCTGCTATAATAAACTGTGTTAGTGCCATTGGATTTAATTAATTTACAGAGGCGTGGAAACTGCCGTGCTTTCCTTAGAGGTGAAAACCACTGCAGTTCTTGGAGGGGCCACTGAGATCATGTAGATGTGGACAGCTCTAGTCAGGCACAGACTCTTCTGCCAGTGCTCCCATCTGGCTGAACTCAAACCGTTTTCAGTCCAGAAGCTGTGTGCGCACGGTGCTCCTTTGAATATACCCTGTCTCTCAACAACCTTACTAGTTCAGGCACGGTGCCACACCAGTGTGGCATTCAGACCTGGGCTGGCTCGTGTCCAGTCATTGTAGAAGAGCAGATGTTTTTCTGAGGTATGTGCCCTGAGATGTTTTGTCAAGCAACATGGTCACTGCAACTTCTAGTTGCACATTAGGGCACTTGATTTGGTTTGGAAGCAGCTACTTGATTTTTTTTTTTTCCCCGTCTTAGGTTTTTTCTGTTCTGTGTAAATTAAAGGACAAATTATCTTCAGCTGAACTGTTGGCTTTTGAGGCAGAATACTCCCACAGAGGAGGTATCCAGTCTGTCTGCACTTTGAGCTTAATCTAAAAGAGCTATGTTTCCCTTCCTTTTGTAGAGATTATTGGCCAGTTTTCTTGGTTGAGTGCAGGAGTACATGTTAAAAATTTGTAATGTTTCTGAAAACCAGAGTGATCAGTTCTACAGAAATATTGGCTTTCTGACATGCTGTAATCTCCCTTATTTCTCAACAGCTTCTCTGTGTTCCATGTGTTATTAATTACCTGTCTCTCTCTTTCTCTTAGGAAATAATTACCATGGTCCCCTTCTTTCTCCTTTATTTGCATCCCTTTTATTTAGCAAGTAACTGTTGTCTTTTCTTCCTGGTGTGATGTAACTGATGTGTATCTAATTAAACTCAGAAATCTTCTCAGTAGGTGTTAACTTTGAAGTCTGTGCGCTCTATTTGAGATCTGACATAGAGATTTTGTACCCAAAATTTTATCTCATTTTTCATCCTGTAGCAGTTGGTTGAATAAAACGCAGCGTCTCTACATAACATAAAAATCTTCTGATTAGTGATCTGTTATCACTTAATGGGTGGAGCAGTATTCTTCACTTGCAGAATTTTGTTTTTTAAAGGGTTCAGAGTAGATTCATATTGATGTGAAAATAGGTATCAGATTAGTTAAACTGAATTCATTCTTCATTGTAATGCTACAGTGTGAAAAGGAGATGCACATCTAGGCCATGCAAATTTGTTGATTTTTTTTTTTTTATATTCTTCATTGTATCTTTTCTGTTTTATTGGTGGTTGTGATGGATTTCTTTCCATTTTAGCACTTGAGGTATTTCCCAAAAAGTATCATATATTCTAGTTTTCTCCAGAGCAATTGGGTATTGTTTATATATTTTTTTATATCCAGATTTTGTTCTATTATTAGTACTATTGACAATCGTTAAGAGCTTCCACAGTTCATTTTATATCTATCACATTGTAAAAATAATGACCATGCTAACCAACAGGTTACTGTACTATTACCTGGAGAGAGTAGTGGTTTAGATCGATCTTTAAAGCATTTAGACTTGATAGGTCCACTGAAGAATAATGACTTATTTTTATTATTAACTTTGGTCTTCCCTGTTTCTTTTAATGTATTAGGGCTTGTTTGTGTACTTGTGCATGTGTTTCAATATTTGAATGGGGAATTAATTTAAAATAAAGAAAATGCAGAGTACTTAACCATTAGTGAAGTACTTGAACTAATTACAAGTAAATAAAGTACAGATTGCAGTTGCCTTGTCAATCTAATTCTGTTTTCAATGTTTTTTTCAAGTTTTTTTTGTTTTGTTTTCTCTTACAAAATGTTAAAAGCTGTCCATAGAACTTGATTGAAAATACAAACTCCTGTGTGCTTTTCTTTCAGAGTACAGACATGAGTCCAGCAAGTAGCACCACCTCACTCCCTGTTAGCCCTCTCCCTGAAGAGCCATTATTTTTCAAGGTATGGTTAATTAATTTAATACTAAATATTGTCTGTTAATTTTGGCTTATCATGTTGTCTGGGGTACTGTGAAGTGCTAATATTACTTCTTCCTTTCCTTAAATTACTGTGGTATCAGCAGATGTCCTGTGTGTATAGCATGCAGTTTTCAAGAAATGCCTAGAATAAAATGTTATTGGTTTTGAGAGGAATATTTTACCAGCAGACTAGAGCCATAAACTGTTATTTAAAAGACTGTGCTTTTATTCATTTCACGTACATTTTGAAATGTGCATTCCTGTATATGTGTGTATCATCAACAGATTTGTCTTTATTTTGTATTTCAACTACATGTTTTAGTGAAACAGTGATTAGTTACTCCAAGGATACAGGAGACATTAAAGATCTGTCAAAGAACAGGTTTGTCATAAATCCAGTGTAAGCCACAGGCCTGGCATTTTAATTAATTTTAATAATAAATGTTTGGACAATGTCCACAACTTCATTAGATTTAAGCTGTGAGGAGCAAGTGGCAATGTGTCACTTTTTCAGCTGACTTCATGGTATCCAGCCCTGGGATACAGAATGCCCTTAGGCAGAGCCAGACTCTTGCAAGAGTTCTTCTGAGGCCGCCCAGGTATTCTGTGTTGGGAAGCAAAGAAGTCACCTTGCCAGTTGTTTGGTTAGATAAAGAAGAGGGAACTTGTGTCTTTAGCACCATTGACTCAATTGTCATGACATGGATTAAGTTACACTCACAAGGAATATCCCTTTTAAAAATTTATAATTTTTCCTCTCCTAAGTTTCCACCTTCTGTTTGGATAGAATTAGTTACTTGGGTTGTGTTTTCAATCACCTTGTGATGGTGCTAAATTAAAAATGAGGAACTGGAATTAATAGTTTGCGTCTCTCCTGCACATTCCCACAGCACAGGAAATACCAGCAGCCTTCAGACCTTACCAATTGGAAAAATCAGCTTTTTTATTTTTTCCATATTTTGTATGCCTGTACAAGGCTTGTAGCCTGTAGGTCATAATCAACTAGCTTGTTCATAAGCAGCTCATTCCTGTTACTAGAATGGTTAAGGATTGTGCTTGCTCAGTTATTTCATCAGTGGAGGTACAAATGGGATAACAGTGGTCATCTGCTCACTGATTCTCATTCCTCTTTGGGGATTTAACATTTACAAGACCCCTGTCTCTCAGTCACATGAGGCTGAAACTGAGCAATGTTGTACCAAGATAGTAGGGCGTGTGTCTTTTTTCCTTGGCACACCACGTTAAAAGCACACTGAAGTCTGGTCAACATTCTAAGTTGCATTCAGTAGTTATTGTGTCTCCTGTGCCTGGAAAACCACTAAGATATGTCACATAAAAAGAAATAGGCTGCTTAGCTCAGATAAAAGTGTAAGAGGTAAGAAAATCTAACTTGAAAAAATGAACTCTGATGCTGAGGTAAGCAAAGGCTGCTCTGGTTGCATCAGGGGCACTCTGACAAGTACACTGTAGTGCCCTTATTTTTAAAGGAAATGGTGCTTGTATAGCTCAAAATGGATTGTTAGTTGCTTATTTGAAGTGGAATAGTTGCTCTATTAAAACAATAAAAATATTTTTCATATTAAAAGTCGAGTAGGAAATGGTACATGGAAGTGAAAAATTAGGGCAGGGAGCATTATTTAATCTTTCATTTTCAGTCAGTTTTCAAAACAAGAAACATTTTCCTTTGGAATTCAAGTAAAATGGAAGTCAGATTAGGAAAAAGTCAAATACATCTCATAGCCAATGCCCTTTAGGAGAAAAAAGAAGAGTAATTTACAACGTAGCAGTTTCTGTAATTTCTCCTTGACTCACTCCAAGAGAGAGCAGTATTGTTCCAGTAGTAATGTGAATAACAGGTTTTACAAGTCATAACCCTCTCCAAATACTGTCAGTCAATAATATTGGCTTTCGATGATGGGATGATGCATTTCCCTTAGCAACATGATAATAACCTTTCCCACATCTTTGCTGTAGAAATAAAGATTGAAAAAGAAATTCTATTCTGTGGTTCTGAAAACACAGGTGAAACAAAGCAGGGCCCTATAAACTGCCTCTCTTTGGGATAGTTGAGGATCTCTGAGCTAATGAACTTTTATATTAGATTGTGAAATGAAACCCAGCCCCAGTTCTCAACCATACCAAGAAAGAGAACTGTCCTTCCTTGGATTTTAACAATTTACTTTCATTTCTACATAAAGAAAGAATACAAATCCTGTCATCATACTCTCATTTTACATCCAACCTCACCAAAGCAGATGTCTAGAATTTTTAATCCCACAGGATATGTGGTGTATAAATATGGAGAACCTAAGTTTTTTAAACCATTTTAAGATTTTGAATTTAATCTAATGGAAGTTGAAAAAAGATTCCCCTGAGAGTGCTTGCAGGTTGCATCTCAGCTCTCCTAATACTGAACTCAGCTACGGTTCTCTCAGTCTATTCCACATACTGTAACATGTCGCACTGCCAGAAAGATGCAAATCATATGAGACTATACTCAGGAGTATTTGGAGGAATATCTTTTCCAGTGCAGCAAGAGATACTCCACCTGGGTCCATCGTATGCTGTTATTTTAATTGAATCATTGTGCTTCTTCTATGTTAAGACTGTACCGTTCAAAGACCGAAAGTGATACACAGTAAAAGGAACAGAAAACAATTGAGTAAGAAATAAAGGTAGCCAAGTCCAGTGCTATTTAATCCTAAAAGCAACCATGAGAAAATGAAAAGATAAACATATCATTAACACCATTCAGCAACTTTTGCTCCATAGCTGTTGCAAATTGTAAATTTTGTTTTGCGTGAGGAAAGAGCAACTTTACACAGCAGCCAGAAGTACACACGATTTTGTATGCCCTTGGGTTTCTTTATCCCTATGGAGTTAGTGACACACAGGTATTCAGAGCAGTCTTCCTTAGCTGTGCTCTTCAGAATCTTGGAAAAAAGTCCTATTCAGCCACATATGCAGACACTTTTGAAAAGCTTTTCTGAAAGAATTTTTGATAAAACATTCATAGGCATAGTGATTATTATTATGTCAAATTCCAGCTTTCAGTCCACTGCTGTTTTCTATGGTTAAAAGTGTTTAAAAAAGCAAGATATTTTTTCATATTATGGGAAAATTTTATTTCTCCTCTCACAAAAGAACATCATATTTGTTGGTGGTTTTGAACTTAAACTCTTCTATAGGGAGGATCTTCCTTTGAATAAAAATTTATTCTTCTGTCCTTGTATAATATTGCTTGAAGAATTAGGTCCTTATCTTGTGGGGAAAAAGTTGTGTCACAGTTGAAAAATTTTAGAATTAAGAATTTGAAATAAAACAGAGCAGAATGGTGTTTGTCTTGCAACTTCAACTCAAGTGTTATTCTGTGTTATAGAAAAACTGTAGCTGGCTCAAATGTGAGTGACTTTTACTTATGAGTACTTATATCTATGCTCATTAGCTGGAATTAAAAATAATCCTGCCTTTAGGATTTAGAAGATAAGTGGAGGAGGGGGTATTTCTAAAAGGTCAACTTACCAAGCAATGTCTCATCCATTTTTTAGAACCTGTTCCTTTCTCCTACTCATTCTACTGTGCTTTATTACAATAGTATTTTATTAATTTTAAATTGTTCTAAAATATAGTGACAGCCTTTTAAGAAGAGATATATGACAACCATTTAGTACATAAGATATCTAATATTGCCTAATTATACATTATCTGTTATAATGAGCATCAATCTCACTGGTTATTAGCCACAACCAAGTTGTAAATAATAACCATAAATTTATTATAGGAACGTTTAATTGTGTTTCAGTTCTATGATTAATCTCAGCCACGCTTTACTAATTGGCATTAAGCAAAAGAAAAAAATTCTTCCATTCTTTCTTTTCTGCTTTGAGGGAGTTGAGAATTTCCTTCAGCATTTATTATCTTACTTGTTCTGACTTCTGTAATTAATACTCTTCATGCAAATTCCCTAAGTAAGAAAATGGAAGTGCCAGCACGAGCGGCAAAAGCTCACAGTCCTCAGCAGTGTTACTGCTGCTGTAGGTCTATATAGATTTATACTAAAATATGTCTGTACTAAGTTCTGCTGTTCATCCTGCAGCTCTACTGGCGCTGTAAACACAGATCTTTGCAGTCACTAATGGGCACAACTCCCTCAGCTCATGACATTTGTGCATACAACTTAGCAAGAGATAAATTTTCCATCTGGTCAATAATCATTTAATAATTTTGCTGCGGTTGTTTGGAATAATCAATATGACAGTCACAATAATGATTGCTGGTTAGCCCAGGAGACTTATCTTTGAGAGTGTGACTTGATATATCCAGGTGAAGAATGAGGTCTTCTCCTAACTTAGTCAGCAACGATGACAAAAAAATGGGCCTATACTTCAAAAAGCTTCTTATGCTGGGTGACACAGCAGCATATTTACCCTCTCTACCCTAATGCACTATTTTCAATATTTTGAATATTTGAAAAAGATAATTTTAATGTATCATTTCTTTTTGGTTTTGAAACATATTCTGAAATAATCACATAGACATTATGACCCATGGGCTGATACAGATTAGGTTTCAGTGATTGTCTTTCATGGGCTGGAGGCCTCATTAGCTCTCGTCCATCTCCTGCCCTCCACCTGAATTTCTGCTTCCTCTGAGAAGTTTTGTAAGTTTTGAAGCCTCTGTGGTTTTGGTGGGTTTTTTTTTGTTTGTTTGTTATGGAGATGTTTTTGGTCTTTTTACTAAAGTGAGTAGAGTTATACAAGTATGACTTATGCAACCCCACCTCTATTAATCTGCTGGCCCAATCTCCATCTTATTTTAAACCAGTCTGTCACCATTCTTCAGTGGTTTAATCAATTCCTCCCACTTTTTAATTTTATTTCCCATGTCAATATTTGCTTTCTTTATGACTCCTTATGTCTTACTGGTGTAGCACAGACTTATAAAAGTCACATCATCACAGCAGCTTTCTGCCTTTGATGAAAG